ATCAGGCCCGGGGACTTATCTATCTTCAACTTCCTCAGAATTCCTAGCACATCATCTTTACTAACATCAACCTCCTTTAGCCTACCTGCCTGTTTCACAACGTCCTCTTCTACAACTAGGTCCCTCTTAGTTGTGAATACTGAAGAAAAGTATTCATTAAGGACCTCTCCTATCTCTTTAGGCTCAGTGCACAAATTCCCTTTACAATCCTTGATCGGCCCGACCCTTTCTCTGGTCATTCTCTTGTTCTGCACATACGTGTAAAAAGCCTTGGAGTTTTCCTTAATCCTATCCACCAAGGTTTTCTCATGCCCCCTTATAGCTCTCCTAAGCCCTTTCTTCAGCTCCTTCCTGGCTAACTTGTATCCCTCTAGAGCCTTTTCCGTTCTTATTTTCCTAAACTTTAAATAAGCCTCCTTCTTCCTCTTAACCAGTCGTTCGACCTCTCTCGAGAACCATGGCTCCCTCATTCGACCGCATCTTCTCTGCCTGCTAGGGACAAACATATCGAGCACATGCAGAATGCATTCCTTAAACAATCTCCACTTTTCTGTGGTGCCCTTCCCTGACAGCATCTGTTCCCAATTTATGTTACCCAGTTCTTGCCTAACTGAAATGTAATTACCCTTCCCCCAATTGTAAACTTTACCCTGCCATATGTACCTATCCTTATCCATGACTATCGTGAAAGAAACCGAGTTATGATCGCTACCGCCAAAATGCTCTCCTACCAACAGGTCTAGCACTTGGCCCGGTTCGTTGCCAAGCACCAAATCCAAAGTGGCCTCTCCTCGTGTTGGTCTATCTACATACTGTGTCAGGAATCCTTCTTGAACGCACTGGACAAAATCCGTTCCATCTAAACTATTACAACTAAAAAGTTTCCAATCAATATTTGGAAAGTTGAAGTCACCCATGTCTACAACCCTGTGACTTCTGCACCTTTCCAGTATCTGCCTCCCAATCCGCTTCTCTACTTCTCTGCAACTATTAGGGGGTCTGAAAAAAAAATCCCCCAAAAAAGTGACTGCTCCTCTCTTGTGCCTGACCTCAACCCCAACTGACTCTGTAGACATATCATTCTCGAACTGCCTTTCAGTAGCTGCTATACTCGCCCTGACTAGCAATGCCACTCCCCCACCTCTTTTTCCACCCTCCCTATTTCTTTTAAAGTATCTAAATCCCGGAACTTCCAACAACCATTCCTCTCCCTGAGTTACCCAAGTTTCTGTAATGGCCACAACATCGTAGTTCCAAGTACGGACCCATGCTCTAATTTCATCCGCTTTATTTCTGATACTTCTTGCATTGAAGTATACACATCTCAAACCATCTCGGTGTCCGCAATTACACTCCATCGACCGCATTTCTTTATTAACAACCTCACTCCCTGTTGTGTCTGTTGGAAGGCCGAATACCTCATCCTCTGAATTATAAATCCGGTTCCCCACCCCCTGCCAAGCTAGTTTAAACCATCCCGTACAGCTCTAGCAAACCTCCCTCCCAGGATATTTGTGCCCTTCTGGTTCAGGTGCAACCCGTCCTTACTGTACAGGTCCCACCTTCCCCAGAATGTGCTCCAATTATCCACATAAAAGACGCTGTATACTCTGTCCAATCTGCATGTAATGGCTGCCACTTTTTATTTCATTATATGTTTGCAATTTGGATGAGAGTAGAAGGAAACACAGGTCACACTTCACAGAGTGAATTGAGGCTCAGTGTGTTATTCTAAGCGACCTCACCCCCATTGCCCAAGATCTGTGTTCCTTTGTGCCTTGCACTCTTTATTAACGCCATAAGTTCTGAGCTGCCAAATATTCCAACATTTTTATTTAAGTCTCAACTCTCAACATTACTCCCCTGAGCCTAGTCTATCTACAGCTTAACCACGTCAACCACTGTGAAGCATTGCCCCTGGTTAAAGTCAGGTTGGTGGTGACTATCAGTGACCCCTGTACCAAATCCTGAAATAAGCCGTATCCCCAAAGCTTTATTGTCTCCCACCCATGTATGTTGAGTTGCCTCACAGCGCAGTTATTGTTTCACTACATCCCAGGTTGCTGCCTCCAATCTGCACAACTGATTTGCCCACCACAGCACTGGTCTCTAATAATCCACCTTGACTTTTGATAAATATATACCCAGGACTGACCATGGCCCAAACCTCTGAGCAACTTGGAATGACAACCTTGATGGAGAAGTAATTAGGCCCCGATTGATATCAATGCTGCTCCCTGACCTATTTTCACTAATTCCTGGGTGGGTTGCACTGCGTCTGCAGGACTGTCTGTGGCTTACTCCTGGGAGACAATAATATGGAATTCCTGACCCTGACTTCCCCTATCTTATTTCACTACTAAAATCTTGAGTGGCAAGAAGGACATCTTTTCTCAACATGGGGAATCTCATATTCTGTTCTTACATGTTTTCACAAATAATTTGCTGCCCCACCGTTCAGTGGGTAGGAAGTTTCCACCTCATGTATTTGTTAAAAGAAGAGCATTGCATTTTTATTTTTTAATCTGTACATCTCACAATATCCCACCTAGAAAGTAGTTCGCTGTCAGATTTCTGCTAATGCCATGCTGCAGTTGGTCACCAGCATTGCAATAGTGTGTAGCAATGCTGGGTGATATAGGATCTCTTCCCACTTCCCAACCTTCTTTTCTCTTCCTTCGCAAACATCATCTTCTCTTTTCGCAGCTGAAACAAGAAATTTCATCTGTGAATTTCCAGGCACTGTAGGCAGGAATTTGGTAGTATAGCACTGCTAGACTTCTGAGACTCCTTGAGAGCAGACACAGCCATGAGCCAGGAGATGGCTTTGTTCATTGAGGAACACAGCACAGTCCATGGCTTGTATGATGCTTGTTTTGGTGAATCAAGCAGAATCCACGAGCAGCACTACTTGAATGAACTTCTCCCCTAGTATGTGTATGTGGTTTTGTTGCAGTCATATTAACATCCCTGGCACACTTTTCAATACTTTATTAATTTTGTTCCGTTTGTAAGCAAGTTTATGAATCGCTAAAAGTAGGATTGCAGGTGCAGCAGGCAATTAAAAAGGCAAATGGAATTTTGTCTTCCATTGCTAGAGGGATGGAGTTTAAAAACAGAGAGGCTACGCTGCAGCTGTATAGAGTCCTGGTGAGGCCACACCTAGAGTACTGTGTGCAGTTTTGGTCTCCTTCCTTGAGAAGAGATATACTAGCACTGGAGGGGGTGCAGAGGAGATTCACTCGGTTGATTCCAGAGTTGAGAGGGTTGGATTATGAGGAGAGACTGAGTAGACTGGGATTATACTCATTGGAATTCAGAAGAATGAGGGGAGATCTTATAGAAACATATAAGATTATGAAGGGAATAGATAAGGTGGAGGCAGGGAGGTTGTTTCCGCTCGCAGGTGAAACTAGGACTAGAGAGGGCATCGCCTCAAAATAAAGGGAAGCAGATGTAGGACTGAGGTCAGGAGGAACTTCTTCACCCAAAGGGTTGTGAATCTGTGGAATTCCCTGCCCAGTGAAGCAGTTGAAGCTACCTCGCTGAATGTTTTTAAGGCAAGGCTAGATAAATTTTTGAACAGTAAAGGAATTAAAGGTTATGGTGAGTGGGCAGGTAAGTGGAGCTGAGTCTCAAAAAGATCAGCCATGATCTTATTAAATGGCAGGGCAGGCTCGAGGGGCCAGATGGCCTACTCCTGCTCCTAGTTCTTATGTTCTTATGTATAACTCTGATATAAAAACTAGGACATATTATTTATCTGTATTCAAGTTTAATATGGTGTTAATGTTGAACTCTCGTGCATCGAGGGAATTATTTTCTGCATTGTTTTACCAAAGCCCTTAAAGGGGAAAGAATATCTTTGAACCAACTACTGAACGGCTCCCTCAAGGTGTGGTTTTAACAAAGTAAAATATGTATATAATATTTTTATAAAAAATTAAAATTTTCTACCCCTGAAGGAAACATACTGTGAAGTGTTCCAGGGTTCCATGATGGTTTAATTGTTTGATTAATGAGACAGGCCTGTGCACCAATCTGGCATAAAGAATCTTGGAATGATAGAGACCATTCAGCCAATTGTGCCCATGCACAATCAGTTGACTTCTATAATGTTCAACAGAATAGGTGTATATTCAAAAATCCTGAGCTTTACTTCATCTTGATGATTACAAATTAGTTAATTAGGTAGTAAGGTGTGTGTATATACTTATGTAAATAGTTTAGAACTGTTAAAACATATTTCTTTTTTGAAAAATGCAACATGGAAAGCTTGTATTTTGGTTTGGCAAAACTAATGGGAAATTCTAGAATGTATGTTGTTGGATCATGGCCTTGTTTTGAGAAGCCATTCAGTATATCTGCAAGTGCCAGTAACCAAGACCTTAGAGCACATTGTATCAGTCAGGAAATTGCATGCAGCTGAAACATAATTTAACGAAGGTGAAGAAACAGTGTTTTGGGAAGGTTAAAGGTTTTAAAAATAAAAACATAACTAACACCTAGTATTTGGAGTTTGAAAAAAACATTTGTTTTCTGTCATAAAAACAAAGTACTGTGGACATAAAAACTGAAAGTACTGGAGAAACTCAGCAGGTCTGGCAGCATCTGTGAAAGAAGAAGCAGAGTTAAAGTTTCAAGTCCGATATAACTTCTTCTGACTTCTTTGAAAGAAGAGTTGTATCAGACCAAAGCCTTAGTTTCACTCACTGTGCTTGTTCAGCATTTTTTGTTTTTATTTCTGATGCATCCTTCACTGCAGTGAATATACAAGGCGTAAGGTTACTAGATAGTTACTAGAGGTTTGTTTAAATACGTGGAATTCTGATTATTGTTCTTTCTCAATCACCATTGTGACCTTAAAGTGCATGTTCATTCTGTTGAATAGTTGCTCTTGCTTTGATAAGAAAATGCATTGCTCAAAAGATTAGTTTGGTTCTTGCTAGTTCCAAGGTGAAGATCAGTAGTGATGATATGATGTTTCCTTTTGATTACAGCAAATGAAGAAGCACCCATGTCGTCAATGTGAGAAATCCTTCAGCTCTTCGCATAGTCTCTGCCGGCACAATCGCATCAAGCATAAAGGCATCAGAAAAGTATACACATGCTGGTAAGTACAGTTGTTAAGTGGAACCTTTTTGCATTGAACAGATGGTCCCTATCATGGAGGTGAAGAAATCCATGAGTTTATCAGTTCACTCAGTTGAGGGTAGAGGAAGCAGGAGAGAATAGCTAAAGCCGATCTCGGATAGAAGAGAAAAGGACTAAAAATAGAAAATGCTAGAAAATCTCAGCAGCTCTGGCAAAATCTATGGAGAGTGAAAGATAGAGATAGAGTTTGGGTTGTATATGACTTCTATAGAACATGCAAGAGAGAAAAAAAGGAGCTTGGTTTCGTTTTACTCTCTGTAATGATCCCAGAGTAGTTGACTGCTATTTAGAGCAGAGAAAATCCAGTAGAGATGTTGCAGTGTTTATTTGTGTGTGGTGAATTCCAGTTTACGCTTCATGTATTTGAGGGAGCAAAGATGGGGTTGCAGTAGGGAAATTGTATGAGATTGCAAACTGGAATGTTTGTTGAAGTTGAGGAGGAGTGATGAAAGAGGGGCCAAAGGTTAAGTATTACAGAGTTCAAGAATGCAATTTTAATGATTTAGAGATGTTCTTTTTCCACCAGAGATGGATCCAGCAGAAAGTAGGTCAGGGGAATGTGAGTGGTGATGAACAAAAGGAAATAATGGGGAGGGGTTTTATTGACTGAAATCCTGTGAGTGCTGATTTGAAGTGAAGGGATACAAGTAATATTTGTAAGGAGGGTGAGAGTCTATCGCTGTGTACTCCTTTTTCACATTCCTTCTCCTTTCCCATCCCACCTCGTTCCAGCCTTTCTCCTACTTTTTAACCCTTTACTTCTTTCCGATTTTTATCTGTCTTTGTGTCTGCAACTGTGACAGGTAAGATGCAAAGCAGTAGGCATTGGATAAGCATCTTGAGGTGGAAGTAGCAGCAGTGGGGAGTTGGCCATTAGACAGAAGTAGCCATCTGAACTCATGAGGATGTGCAGTTAAAGTTAACTTATGTATCAAGTATTTGAGAAGTACTGGTGCTGTTGACGTACATTTGGATAGGATCAGAAAGTCTTTTGGCTACTGGTAACCTGTAGAGTGCTGCACTGCAACCTTTAAGAGCCTGGCCGGGTCAGTGCTAAATTATCCTTTTCCTGCTTAAAATTCCAGTGAGAAGCCATAGGTATGCACAAAGTGCTATCTATGAAAATGTTTAAACCCTGGTTTCCTGGGGGATTTGTAGCAATTTCAGAGAAGAGAAGGCAGGACTACTTTAGTTAACAGAAGTGCAGAAGATTGACATTCTATTCTCCTTTCAGCTGGGTCTTGCAATAAAATGGATATCTGATGGAAAGAGGAAACCAGCTCTGAGCAGGAGCTGCCTGTCATTCCCCTGCAATCTACTGATGTAAAAAATCAATCTCGTAGGTCTTAGAAAATCTGTTGTTTCTAATAGTGAAAAGAATAAAAAGTCTGGGAATCAGATAAGTGAGTCACTTTTACCTTAAAAATCCTAGAATAGTAAAGTTTAGCGTGGAATATGGACATCTCCTATTGTGGGTTTGAACTTGATTGACAACATTTTATTGAAAAACTTCTTAGTACACATTGTATGGATATTTTTCGATCAGTTTCTGGAAACAAGAATTATGTTGCCCACATAAATAATTAAATCATTTGAGGGCATTGAAAAGCATCATTATAAAGATCTGTGCAAGGACTACATTCTATGATAGGTTATATTTTTCTTTCATGGACGGAGACAATTTTTATTACTTCAAGTAATGTGCTACTCATATCAGAAGTATCTTGATTGCTTTTAGCTTGGTCTTAACAGCACCTCAAGGACGTTTTTTTCCCCTTTATTCTTCAATGGGTTGTGGACATTGCTGGCCCAATTGCTCTTGAACCCAGTGGTTCACAAAGAGTTAATTGCATTGCCATGGGTGTGAGTTCACAAATAGGCCAGACCTTGCAAGGATAGCAATCCCAAAAGGACATTAGTGAACCAGATGGATTTTTGCAATCAATGATTGTTTCATGGGCACCACTACTGAGGCTAGCTGTCAGCTCCAGATTTTGTTAAATTAATTTTGATCTCCATTAGCCTCAATGGTGAGCTTCAAACACATAGCCCCTGAGCACTTTCCAGTGACTCTGGAACACTGTTCTAGTTAAATTAACCTGACACCACCATCTCTTTCTTTTGGATTAGACAGAAGAATTTGTAGGCTTCTCATTATAATGAAAAGATAATTGCCCTTAGTCATAGCATATATAAATGTTGCAGGTTTCCATTCATATGACAAACAGTCCAATTCATTAAAATGCTTATTTGGTGTCAATATGAAGCAAGCATTTGGGCTAGTAAGAACATGAGCATTGTGTATAATTCAATGTAAAATGCTTCCCCTAATATTGCATGTCGACATTTTGTGTTGTCCCTTTGTGTCTTTTCTGGCTTACCGTTTTGATTTATTGGTCATGGAGAACTCAAGTAATTGATTTCAATTATCCATAAATAATAAATACACTGTTGTATAGAGACTTTAAGAGTCAGCTGCTGGGGATCTTGATGAATTATTTATCGGCAATGACTCCCGTCATTTTTAGTTATTGAAACAATTTCAGACAATACCAAATGTCCTTAGCACATGCTTTTGATATAATTATAGTACAGTTTGAGAACGAAAATGATCCAGTGCATTTTGCACATCTGTAATGAATGGCTATATATTTCAAATGATAAGAAGTTTTTGAGTAATATGAGATTGGAGGGAAGATTACATGGAGCAGCAGAAAGGATAGCAAATGGATATAGGAAAGAAAAGAGAAAATCAGGAAAGCAATCAAATAGTGCAATCAAATAATGCGGAAAGTATTGCAATGAAATTATTATTGATGGGGTATAATGCAGTAGCTTCAACAGAGATGTGTCTTAGCTTGAGGCAGGGCTGAGAGTTAAAGGTTCCTGGTTATAAAATATTCAGGAAGAATGGAATGATTAAATGGAAGGACACTTGGCAATATTAAGAAGCTTTTTCATCATAACACTAGAACAATTGGGAATTGTGCAAATGTTGAGTCTGTTTGGTTGGAGCTAAGGAATAAAAAGGCTATTATTATTGTATCAGAGATAGTAAGAACTGTCGATGCTGGAGTCTGAGATTAACACCGTGTGGAACTGGAAGAACACAGCAGGCCAGGCAACATCAGAGGAGTGGGAAAGTTGATGTTTCAGGTCAGGACCCTTCTTCAGCCTTTTTTCTGAAGAAGGATCCCAACCCAACACGTCAGCTTTCCTGCTCCTCAGATACTGCCTGGCCTGCTGTGTTCCTCCAGCTCCACACGGTGTTATCATTATTATTCTATTGAAGCTTATGTCAGACTACGAGTAGGAATGAAAGTTCTTGTTCAAATTTCGTGACTATAAAAGTGGAAAACATCATTAAATTTCTCAATCATTGTGTATGTTCAAGATGGACATCAATAGATTTGTACACGTTGATGAAAGTCAGAAGTTTGGGACAACACAGGGAAATTGCTTAGAGGTAGATAATCAACCATAATCTATAATGTTGGAGCAGGTTCGAGGAGTTTAGTGACGTACTTCAGCTCCTATGTTTATAAGTTGGATCTGGTACTTTCGCATTAACAGAAGACAGAGTGTGGTATGCGATGAGCAATTATCCTTTTCTTAGAGATGTTCTCTCCAGACCACCTTGGGATTAAAGATGGATGTTGGGACCTTTGCACTTCTTGATATACATATATTCTTGACTTTCCCATTGAGTTTAAAAAAACGGTTTGGCTGTTCACAGATAATTGGGTGGCTTACACATGAGAGAAAATTCAAAACCACATCAATTCACCACAAGGTGATCAAGCAATGTAAACAAGAATGAAGCAGTGCAAAGAGCTACTGACTGATTCTGTAGCAATCAGTATGGAGATATACACTAGAGTCACATCCTTGATCAAAGGTTTGGAATGGGAATCACTATGTCAAAGCAGGTAGAGCAGTTGACTGACTGTCTTCTGTAAAATGTAGACTGGTGAGAATTGACAGAAACCAATACCTGATGCCCTCCAGCAATGACAAAACATAAGGTAACCATCCACAGAAGCTACAAGGATGGTTTGTCTTCAAGACAAATGTGAATAATCTTCCTTTTGAAAGACAATTCTGCAGTAGAACAAGCTGGAAAAAGAATTACTAATATACTCATCACTTGAAATCTTCAAGATCTAGATTTAGATCACTTCCATTTATATCTTTTTCATTCTCAGGACTACCATATCAACGGGTCATGGCTGGTTTAGATCATGCTAACCATATAAATGTTGGCAGAACACAAACGTTAGCCTGTGATGTCAGCATAACCTAAACAGAAGAAGGAGAAAGAAGGGGAGACAAATCTAACTCTTATCCCGTGAATGAATTAAAAATAAACACAAAAATATGGAGGAGTAACAAAGCCATAAAAATGGCCAGTCTTCGTTCATACAGAGACAAATTGGGGTAGGAGAAAAGCAAGTGACAATAACTGGAAAGGTTTCTGCATTGTATCATGCAGGGTTTTCTGGGTTAATATGGTACTTCTTCAACAATGAAGAACCCTGTTATTGTTGTAATATTTTCACAAATGACCATTTCTGGTACTTTGTTGTATTTGCCATCTCTACCAGTATATAGTACTGTTTAAGGAAGTTCTTTGCTGTAAATCCTTCTTTATCTTTGCTTCATCTTAGGCATGTCTAATGTTTAGTGCTCAACACAGCCTGGATAACAAGAATTTTTTTGTATGGTGACAAGAAGTAAATTTGGTGAGGCATAATTACTAGGACTTTAGGGAACTATACACACTAACTATGTAGAATAGGAGCAGGAGTAGGCTGTTTTGCCCCTCAAGCCTACTCTACTTTTCATTAGGATCATGGCTTATCCACTGCTTCTCCTGAAACCTAAAGAACCCCCTTGTCTTCATCCACAAACAATTTAATATGTGTATTATCCCCTTCAGACCCATGAACTTAAATAATA